GAACATGTTTCTAATGCGAGCTTAAAAACCCTGCATTCCAGCTACACTAGCATCATAAAATTTAGTTTTTAAAGTTCTTGCCAAGCAAAAAAGAATTATTTATTTTTTCAAAATATCATAAGACATGTATGTTGAAATCTGTAGAGTCACATTTGATGAAATATTTTTAAATGTTCACATATATGTATATAATATGTATAAAATCCTTTTTTTGGTTACAAAAATAATATGAGCTTTTGAAAGTTAAAAGACTACAAAAGCATCCTATCTAATAAAAAGGGAATATGCTAATTGACTGTCACACCCTCACAAAGATGGAAGTGCCCACAGCCAATAAGGTGGGGATATGCTAATTGACTGCAATGCCCTCAAAGAGGACGGTACCCACAGCCACAAGATTGCGACACCCAGACCCCTCAGCCCTGCTGGGGCAGCAGGCATGCGGCCTGGCCAGGCCACACCAAGTGGGTCCAACCACACCTCACAGCTGCCTTTGGAACCCCTTAGTCCCCTCAGCCCCCAGCCTCCCAGGGCCAGCCTGAGGGATGACCAAACAACTGAACAAGCAGGTTGTGGGGGGTGACCATGCCAGCAGGGGGGTTAGTGAGGAACGACCAAATGACTGAACAAGCAGGCTTGTGGAGTGACCAGGCCAGCCCGGGGTGGGGGGCGGGGAGAGGGATAGTTGGGACAATTAGGCTGGTGGGGGGGGCAGTGAGGGGTGACTAGGCCAGGGGGGCAGTTGGGGGTGACCAGACCAGCAAGGGGGACAGTTAGAGCCAACTAGGTGGCAAAGGAGGGTAGTTGGGGTGACCTGGCCAGCAGGGGAGATAGTTAGGAGCAACTAGGCAAGCAGGGAGGAGACAGTTGGGGGCAACCTGGTTGGCAGTGGGGATCAGTTAACTTTTGAAAATACTAAATTATTCAGAAGTGACGAGGCATCATCAGGACAGCAGTTCTCTCTCAAACAATTGAAGAAAAAAGTTCTCCACTTGCAATATTTCTGTAAGTTTGAAATTGTTGAAAAAAATTTTTAAAGTAGCAAAAAGGAAAAATATAGAATATTTTTTAAATGTTTTTAAAGAGATGTATAGTATTCAAAATAACTTCTTTTACCAGTCTTTAATTGATGGGAATTTAAATGGATTCCTGTTATAAACATCCAATTCTTTGTTAGTATAAACAGTGTTAGTAAATATCAACATGTTTATACTCTTGTTCAATTTTGCCGAAGAATAAGTCCCTGGAATCAAATTGCTATGTGAATGGATACGTATCCTTTAATCAGTTTAATCATAAGTCAATGTAGGAAACCACATAGAACATCATTAAAATAAAATGAAATTTATATTTGGTAATTATATTTGTTCCCCCCCTGGAAAGAGTGGGAACTTCATCTGTTTCAATTATTACCATCCCATCATTACCATAGTCTGAGATACTCAATAAATATGTGTTGCAACAATAGGAATAGCATATATTTATTATGTGTCTGGAACTCTTCTAAGAATCTGAATTAATTTATTCCTGTAACAACCTATGAGATGTGCGATAGGATTATTTCCACTTTGCAGTTGAGGAAACTGAATCAAAGAGAGGCTGGATACGCAGTAGTTTCACAAGGCTAGTCACTGGTGGAGCCAGGAGTCCAGAAGTAGTTTTTCTTTGGTTTACAAGCTCTAAGCCACTAAGCTATCCTGGTTCTCTCTTGTTGAAAAAATAAATCAATGAATGAATGATCAATATATTTATTTGATTCTTGGACCCATTATAAAATTCAACTCATTAGGGGTTTCATTTCTTTTTCTTCTCTTTCTTTCTTCTTTTTCTTTCTTTCTTTCTTTCTTTTTCCCCCCCCCCCCCAATGAAAATTAAAAGGAATGGACTGCTTACTTTGTAAAAGCCAAATTAGCTTTATGGTCCTTTATACTAGGCTTGACTGTGCTATGTAATAGTACTGCTCCTGGAATTAATATCTGTACAGGTATAAACTGTAAATTGTTCTTACTAAGAATTTATGGGTCGGTAAACAGAATATTTGCTTTGTATTATAAATAAAATAGTCAACCTGGATCTATAGCTGGAGTCTACGAGGCAGAACCTATATTGCATTACTTATTTTTTTAAACACATCCTCTGCTCCCACCTGCACTCCTGTGCCCCTGTCCTTTTCTGCACCAGGAATGCCCATGCCCATCTCCTACAGTGGAAACCCACCCACCCTCCACCCTCCCCTCAGGAGTCACCTCTCCCGCTGAAGACTGCTTTACCTTTCTTTTCTTCCTGACCCTCCCTTTGAAGGTTAAAATGATCTTTCCTACCTCAAAACTCCCTGAATCCTTTTTACAGTTTTATAACATTTTAAACATACCTTCTATTAATCAAGTCCTCATCTCCCATAATAGGCTATATTCTCTTTTAGTCTTATTCATTTATTAAACCCCAACATATTAACAATATTTTCTACAGAATATGGAATTACACATGAGGGAATAAATTATTTCAAAGAAATATATTTGAATTTTTAAAATGCTAAATCAGAAGACTACTAAATTGTTTTGAATATTATATATTTAAAAATTATCAGGAATTGTAAAATAACAAATGAAATGATTAGACATGATTTTTTTTCATCTGATGATTTGTATTTTGTGTCTCATTTATAAGGCATCAAGTACCGAGAACCATAATTGGCTTTTATGCCTGAAAGACCTTGTGTTTCGTTCATGGCTGCAAATTTCAGCTTTGCTTCCACCCACAACTTCAGTTCCCTTTTCTTTTAGTGGGTGCTTTGGCACATCAAAGGTAATAAAATCAATCAGAGATAAGTGAAATTTTTTTTCAAAGGCTAGTACTTAAGATGTGTTCCTGTTAAAGAATTTCAATACTAAATTTGTTTTCAAGTGTTTGTATAATACCACATTTCCCTGCCAACTGAAAAGATTGTCCTTGAATCCTGTTCTGCATGAAATAATAAAATATTACCCCTACTCCACATATATTTAAAAAAAAAAAAAAACACAAGAACTTCAGGGAATGTTAAGTATTGTCATCAGACAGGATTTTACTTTGTTGCTGGCATAGCCTTCAGGCCAATTGTTTCTATTCCTCTTTAAGGAGTTCTTTCCTTTACCCAGGCTCTGGGACAAAGCTGAAGTATTTTTCTTTTTCTTTTTTTCCCCCCTGAAAGTTCAAACAGCAAGCCAAAGAGAAAGTTCAAACAAATATCGTCAGTCTTTTAAAAATATCATTGCTTATGTAAATTAGCAGTGGTCCTTGGGTACTGCTGAGCCAGCCCCAAGCATCTTTGGGTTGGTTGGATACTCTCTCATGTTTTATCTAGAAAGCTTTGACCATGAAGTCTTCACGTTTAATTTTAGTTTGTGCTTTTTTTGTTTGTTTGTTTTAGTTTTGGGGTTTTTTGTTCGTTTGTTTTTTAGATTAGCTTCACTATCTTGTGATTTCCTGAGGATAGTGTAGAAGCTAATGTATTACTGGGGAGCACTTCTATGTGATCTTACTGATGTTAGTCATCTGGCCATTGGATTTGAGGTTTCCCAAACTAAGTTTATGATCAGTGGTTAAAATTAAACTTTAAGAAATCTTTCTGGCATTTTTATGTTGTGAATAATAGATTTGAAAACAATGCCTTCTGGCCACAATTTACAAACTTGACACATAGTCTGAAATATGTTCAGCACAACAGCAATATCAAAACATGCATATGTTAGATTTTAGCCTAGTTGATTCTCTTCATAAAACGTTGAGATGCTGCACCAGTTCTGCCTGGCCTCTTTTTATGTTAATGCTAAGTTCTTAATCATACCCTTCGTAGATCGATTCATTTGGAGGCCAGCTGAGATTCTCCCTGTTGTTTCTGCACGCATCACATTGTAAATGTCCAAACTTTATTCAGGGAAGAATATGTTTCGGGAGGCCTACGTTATAAGTCATTATTCCTTTGCATATTAGATGCATAATTATTCAATAGGCATTTGTATTTCATGTATCATGTTAGCTGTAGACTTTTGGTTGTCTTTGAAATGATCCTGGGAACTTCACTGATTGCTTCTTTGGTGCTCATTCCTGGCAGGGGGTGTTCTCCCTCAGGTCTGTAGCTCTGTGGTACATCTACATAAACATGCCTTTGTGTTCAACATCTTTCTCTATCTGATTACTGTTGTATCCAAGTGCTTTGTCTCTGCTTCTCTTAGCGCCCCCTTTCTTTTGCCCTTAGCCTGTCATTTGCGTAAATAAGTTTGTTTATATTCAGCAGAGTATTAAGTGCATTTTTTTATGACAGAAGGGAATGATGTAGTAAGTCAGAAGAAATACCACCGAGAGTGGGGTGGATGAGAGAGAAAAGGGGGGGGGGGGGGAGACAGGAAAGTCTGGAGGGAAAGAGAGAGTGGGTGTGAGGTAGGAAGAAAGAGCCAAACCCAGAGAGAGAAAGAGAGAGACCACTGGGGCTTTGTGAAATCTTGGGGGCTGTCGCGGGGGAGGGCGATCACACTGACCAGCATTTTCCCCAGGCTTGGGCTCAAGCTTGTGAAACTGCGAACGTATTAAAGAACCTCAGCCTGGGATTTGCTGAGGACAAATGCTGTAATGTGTTAGTCATCCATTATCTGTTTCTATTTTTGCAGGTCCCAAATGATGACTGACTGACGCGGGTTTGTGTGATATCCCTCACAGCCCCTGTCACTGCCCGGCGATAAGGGCCCCGCGCGCGTCTAGCTCCAGCAGCACCAGAGTAAAAAGAAAAAGGAGAGAAAGAAAAAAGAATCAGAAAAAGCAGCTCTCCAAGGAGGAAAGCTTCCGCTTGCGGACCGGACCAAAGTACCGCCTTCCCAGGGATTTCTGCGTGAGGCTAGGGACCCGGGCACCTCGCAGGACGCCCGCGCCCCCATCCCGCGCCCCGCGCCCCGCGCCGGGCCATGAAGTAGCGGCGCTGCCCCGCGGCCCCCGCCCGCGCTGCCCTCTCCGCGGCCGGCGTGGCCATGGCCGGCGCCCGGAGCCTGCTGCTGCTGCTCGTCCTCCTCCTCGTGCTCCAGAGCGGCTGCCTGGGCTTCCGGAGCCCCCTCCCCGTCTTCAAGAGGTGGGTGTGGGTGTGCGCCCGCTGTGCGAGCGGCGGAGGGGGCCGGGTGTGCCCGCTGTTGGGAATGGGCATCACTTTTAGGGACCTGCGTGTCCGCGGAGCCCGCCAGGCTGCTTTACTTTGAGCTGAGCCGGCTGGCTTGGGATTTCAGCACAGTAACTTCTTGTGAAGTCCCCCCCTTTTCAGGAAAACAACAACAAGGGCGACAAAATAATAGAAAGCCCCACTGTCGTGCAAGCCGAGCTGCACTGACTGGCTTCCCAAACTTCAATTAGAAGTTGTGATTTCCAATACACATCGCTCCCTCTTGGGGAGGTTTCTCAGAAACTACATCTAAAAGAAGACTTGAATGCCTTCTTTTAGCATAGCTGGGGAATAACATGCCCGCCCAGGTAAGTGATGGGGAGAAGCAGATCAGGGGCTGTAATAGCTCAGGAGAAGACACCGAGCTGTAGACACACGCCTTGTAATTACCATAATTAAATATTTATGCACTTATACATTTGTAATTCACATCGCAGCCCCCCTCCCTCCTCCTGTTGTGCCTCTGAGCATGATTAGTGTTGGGTTTTGTTTCTGACTAGTAATACTGGGCACTCATGAAATACTCACAAAAATGTTACTAGGTTATAGTTAATATTTCTTCCCTTAGAAAACTGTCAGGTCTGTGATAATTTCTAATTAATTAATAGTGTATTTTCATTAATTAGAAACAAATAATTTGACAAGTTTTTATTGAACTGAGTGTTAAATGTAACCTGCTTGTTTGCTTTGATTATATTTTGTTTACAAGTTAGACATTTGTTGCTCATGGACTATAAAGTCCAATTCTGAGAATGTTTTAGAATATTATGTAGTTATCACATCTTTTCATCAGGTCTAACTCAATAATATTTAATTTTACAGTCATAGAATTCCTTTATTTTTTCTTTCTCATGGTCAAGTTAAAATTCCATTATGTCCAAAGATATTGAAATTACCTTTTTTTAAAAAATTTTTTTAAGGTTTAAAGAAACTACCAGATCAATTTCCAATGAATGTCTTGGTACCTCCCGACCAGTAACTCCTATCGATTCATCTGATTTTGCATTGGACATTCGAATGCCTGGGGTTACACCTAAACAGGTGAGGAGAATTCTATATTTTATTATTCAATTGTTCTATGTACAATTTATAATTAAAGCTAAGAAACTGCATTCATAGCAGTAGTAACTGCTTTAAAAAGAAAAATTTGCTTTCAAGACTCTTCAGGACTAGAATAATTGACTATAAGAGAGAGGAGCACATCTTTCAAGGTATATATTTCAGTTAATTTTTTTCCCAAAAAATTTTACTCATATTGTTAGTTGTGTTTGGAAACGGAACCTTGAAAATTTACATTTTGAAATTCTCAGTGGAATAATAGCCTCTGTACTGCAGCATGTAGTATGGATTAAAATATGAAAAATTATTCTAATAAAAGGAAATGATATTGAGCAGCTACTTCTCAGAATTTACTTTGTTTAAATACCCTCCTATCACAGCCACAAGTTAAGAGCCAAAGACATGTGTTTACTGCCAAGAATCGGAAAAATAAAATATTTCACACTTTAAAAGTTAAGAGAATTATTCATACAGGTGGTGGATTGTAAGTGTTCTGTAGCACAATTTGCTTGTTTAAGAGATTATGAAGAAATGATTGAAGAACTCACACAGCATTTTGAGTAGAACTAGGTTGTGGCAAGGGCTTTCCCTGTTTTAAGTATACACAAGGAGCTCAAACTCACTTCTCTCATGTGTTGAAGGTGTTTCATTAAGCACGAAAAGGCCAGAATTAATTATGCTTTGCAAGCAGGCAGTGCAGGGATTTGTGTCGTTAAAAGATAGTCCTCTCCTTCCTAAGAGCTGCAGCAACAGGGAGAGACCTGACCGTAACAGAACTGCAGTGGCTGATGACTCACTGTTGCAGATAAAATTCTATTTTTCTTGTCTTTTTAAGTACTGGGAAAATAAAAGTCTTCTCCTTACTGGGGAGAATTCCTTTGAAGTAGACATTCAGAAGCTCAAGAAAATATAAATAGTCCTCTTTGGGGGAACTAAGGATTGACATTCATTTATTTGAATACCTGTATATGATCTAACAATCTATAATTGACTTCTTTTACTATTCTGAAGATTTCCCTCATCTTCCTAACCCCTGCCCATACTCAGATGACCAGCCAGATGACTTTTTTGTATGTTCAGTTCTTAATGTTCTGGCCTTTAATCCCATAAGGTCATTATTTAATATTCAGTCAGAAGAGCTGTAATGAAATTGGGAATAGGAGTGATTGACAGTTGCTCACTGGTGAAGTGTGCTTCTTCTTGTCTGTTCTCATTTTTAAGTGATTTTCCTCCTATATTTGCTTAACTGACTTTATATTATTATTTTTTAAACCACTGTGATCTTTTGCACCTTTTTTTCCTCCCAAGAATATCCTTATTTTCTCAAATAGTCATGTGGTTCATTATTCTGTGTTTTTTTTTCTTCTCATTATTTTATAGTAAGAACATTTAAATTATGTAACATAATAAGTAATTGTATTGGGGTCAATATTCTCAGAAAGAGTTCCTAGAGGGATTCATTATTTAAAAAAAAAAATGTAGAGGAGCACCATTTTCTTAAAATGTGTTTACTCATTATTACTATAATCTTATACTAGTAATTATCAAAATAACTCCATGGAAAAAGAATATATATTTAGTAAATTACAGGCTTGTTATTTTGCACTATCTGCATTCAGCTTTGCCTCATGCAGTAAAAATGTGCTACCGTAGTTCCCTTCCCAGCATAGAATTCTTTGTTGCTCCTTCTCTTGAGACTATGTGGTTCTCAGGAGTTGTTTATCCAGGACTCAGAAGTGGAGCACACGAACTAGCATTAGCAGATTGTTGTAACCCACCTTCCCTTTCACAGTGATTGGTTCAGAAGAAGGTATATGATCAAGACGAGTCGAATTAAATCTTAGGACTTTTGCTGGGAATCGATTTTTCTGTTGTATGTGAGCCAGTCCTAGGATTGGCTGAGTTCATGAGCGGAGCCATGCCTAGAGTAAAACTAATACTGGAGAAGGCAATGCAGAGAGACTGAAGGTATATAGGTTCTTGGTGGCAATGCTCCTTAGGGAATTTGCAACTATGTTAGCCTTTCTTATTTCAGCCAGGCCCAGTTGGGTTTTCTCTGACTTGGTGGCTGAAATTACCTAACTAGATTAGTGATTCACTTGTTTTGTCTAATCAGCTCAGAGCAGGCTGTTTAAAGTTTTTGCCACTTCCCCATCATCCTCTACTGACTGTATGCCACGAGTACTTACTGACTTGATTTGGTTGACATATCGATTATGTACCTTATAACCTTCATGAGAAATGGTAGGTATACTTCTTACTGAGCATACTCCGAAAGAAGTGCATAAAGAAACCCCATATACCTTTTCTCCTGAACTTGGTGTGCTTAATAAGGAAGACATGGTGCTTTAATTGTGTGAGCACTTTTGATGAAGAAAATATTATTTTCTTAAAATGCAGGTGAAAGTAAATTTAACACAGATCCTTAAAAGGAAAGTAGATTAAAAAAATAATAAAAAAAGCAAGGGAAGAAAAATAAAGTACCAGAGGAAAGAAATAAAAGATGGAAGGAAATAAGAGTAGGGGCGAAAGAAAAGAAATACAAGAGACTAGAATGATCGAGAACAAATTTTTTTTAAAAAAATCAAGAATAACTATGATATGAAGAACAGAACAGTTAAAAATTATATCAGAAAGAGAGGAGTAAGGAAATCATAAAAACAAGGAAAGCATTGAGGAGTTAAAATGTTTGTTTTTTTAATGGCAGAAGATCAAGAAAACAAAATTAAAAGAAGGGAAAGACTGAGAACCAGAACTTGAGTTGGTAATTGAGGCACACCAAATTGAGCAAGGGATGTGTTCATTCAATAGATTTTATAATAAAGCACATATTTTGGCAAGAATAAAAGATACATCAGTGAATCTTGTGTAAGCCCTCCCCTTGGAAAGCTTGAGATTGTTAGGCAGCTATGGATAGAGAAACAGCAGATGTAGAATTGAAGCAGAGAGAACCTCACCTATAATATAGATTGAACAGCTAACTGATTTTTTGCTGATGAAGCACATGCCTAGATTAATGTTCTACCAAAGAATATCCAGTCGTGTCAGTCCTCTCTGAGTTGCAGTCCACTCTGCTATTCCATAAACTTCAGAGCAGGCTTTAAAAATTGCTCCCGCTAAACTAGCTCCAGAGAGTCCAGGGAAAGTATTTTATTATCAATTGTAATACCAATACCAATTTTATAATCAAAGTGAGCTTATTCTTTTTTTTTTCCTCTGACTTGAAATGTAGAAAAAGAATTTTTGTCTTCTTTCATAAATTTCTCATTGATCAGTGCTCTTTCCAGGCTGTGGGAAGATTAGGGGGAAGAAAAAGCAGCTTTGGAGTAGCCCTGGGTACAATCTGTGGACTGATGGCACTGGCTTCATATCCAGCAGTGCCTCAAAGTGGTGGTACTCCACCCTCTTCCTTTAGCACTTTCCTCCTCATTTGATTCCTTTTTCACTGGGGACCCTGTGGGCTTTCGGTGTCACCAACTCTCATATCAATAAACCTGACAATTTGACAAACTGCCGGTTCATGGTCATAGGAAGGTGTTATCATCAGTTTGATGTGTTAAATATTCCATAGAGGTTGATTTTTAAATAAAATATGGCACAATTATCATGATTTTACATAAGATTTATTGTCTAAATCTAAACAACATCTAGTGGATTAGAATGAAGGCTGTGGGGCCAGGTTGATAGCATTCTTGTCCCAGCTCTTGATGTGTCAACTTAGGTATGTTTCCTTCTTTTTTTAAAAGAATCCTCACCTGAAGATATGTTTTTATTGATTTTAGAGAGAGAGAGAAAAAGAGAAGAAGGGAGAGAGAGAAACATTGATCAGTTGCCTCTTATATGGGCCCAGACTGGGGATGGAACCTGCAACCTAGGTATGCGCCCTGACCAGGGACCAAAACTGCAACCTTTTGGTATACGGGATGATGGGCCAACCCCCTGAGCAACCCAGCCAGGGCTCAGGTATGTTTCTTTTTTTTTTCTTTTACATTTTTTTATTAAATTATTTATCGAATATCTGTGTTCATATTTTGACATTGCCCCCCCTCCCTCCCCAGAGTTTTGTGTCCATTGGTTGTACTTATATGCATATATACAAGTCCTTCGGTTGATCTATTATCTCCCCCAGATCTCCCTACCCTCCCGCTGTAATTTGACAGTCTGCTTGTTGTTTTACTGTCTCTATTTCTATCTTTTGGTTCATCAGTTTATAATGTTCTTTATTATCCACAAATGAGTGAGGTCATGTGGTGTTTCTCTTTCATTGACATCATGCTGAGTGAAATAAGCCAGTCAGGTATGTTTCTTAACCTGCTAGTCCTGCTCTTTCATCTGTAGACAAGGTAATAGTAGTATCTATTCAGGATTATTCTGGGGTCTAAGCAAGGTAAGACCAGTGCATGTTCCAGTTGCCCTTCACATGGTAAACTCTCAGAAAATGTGAACTCGTTATTTTTATATGTGTTGGGGGAAATGTGAATGAGCCTTAAGATGAGAAAGAAATTGCCAAACCTTTTACTTTCAGTAATGACTTCATGGAGAAAGTAAGGCATTGTAATAATTCTGAAGGAGAGGAAAGGTAGCCAAACAGAAAATACGAACCTGAAAAAAACAAACAAACAAAGAAATCCACTGAACCTGGACAAGGGAAACCTGGAGAAAGTAAGCAAAGAAGTAAATCTTTCAATGAGCTTATTTTTAGGTAGTTATTTCCATTAAATATCCCTTATGATCAGAGAATCAAAGAACACTGTTTTCCTCCAAGTTCTTATATATATTTTATACTCCTTAGAAGAGAACTTATCAAAAGCAGTTTCATCAATAGAAGCCTTAATTTTTTTTTTTATAGCAGTTTGAAATTAGCCTGGTTTTCCTCAGGTTGCTGAAGACTTTGTACATTAATCTTCTTAAAAAATTACTCTTTCCTAATGTAAGTTTCTTCATATTCTAGATTTATCTTGTATTTTATTTGCCTATTACTT